CCAAGAACTTCACACGTGCTGTGGAATCCCAGCAGCCAGCCCTTGCCCAAGCCTTGGAGGAAATGGCTCATGTCATCCCTTCCTTGCCAAGAACTTAGGCACTTGTCGAACTATTCAACCAAATCTAGAAGAAGAATGGAGACCTCAAAGGTGACTACTGCAAGTTTCACAAAAAGAGAGTGTCAGAAGGTCTCCCTTCAGTGGGCAGACCAGCATCACCCTGTCCTCTCTACACAAACGGAATCTGAGGGTGATGAGATGTCCTCCCACAAGTCATTAGTGATACCAGGCCTAGAAGACACCTTCCTCCATCCTCAATAAGCACCAACAGTCCTCCTAAATCAGGCAGCAAAGCAGTGAAGCATTTCACTTCCAGATCCTCAGACACACAAGTAGCTGTCTGCTTCAGGAGGTGTATCCCAAACAGAAGTCCCAGAGAAAGTAAACACTATGTATTAGCTAAAGGACTTGATTTCCTTCTCAGCAGTCCTCTCTGACTGTAATTGAAGAGGCTGGATTCCCTACATGGAGGGAGCATCACCCAGCAATTACAGGCAGAAAACTATTAAGTGACTGGTTTTCTCAGAGCTGCTCTTTGATCATGGGCAGGTCACCCACTTAAAGGTTTAATTTCTCCCTCTGTCAGGCAGGGCTGCACCAACCTGTATTCACTGGCAATGCCTCAAAGTAACTCTCTGTCTTTCACTTTCTCTTTTTCTTCTGGAAACGAGACAACAGCGACGGCAGCATCTGCCAGCACTCACTTGTCCCAACAGGTCTTCAGCATGGTGGCCAACCTCAGCCAAATTCAATGTACAAACTGGCCCTGGGCTATGATACAAGCAAGTCAATGAGATGGAGAACCCCAAACTGTCCCAAGAGACCACCCTCACACACTGCCACAATCCTATATTGCCTTCGCTTTGGCAACGTAGCAGCTTTTCCAGCCATGACCTCCTATAGTTGGAAGCTCAGTTCTCATCATCAGAATGTTTTTTTGAGGTTCAGGCAAGAGACATGAAAGAGGGACCTGAAAGGTTTAAGTGGATCTGCTCTGCTCTCACCCCACAGCTAATACACCTCCCCATATGCAGGCAGGTCAGATGTCCTCTGCCTACAGCCTGAGCTCACACAAAGTGAAGCATCTCCTACTTGGAAATGCTCTGGCACTAGCACAGCACTGTGCTTCTTTGAGTTAAGGAGACGTAAGAGATTAAGTTTCGTGTAATACTACATTCAATGACCATGACCATCAACTGGAGAAGCCTCTGTGGTCCCCAGCAATG